AGAGAGAGAGAGAGAGAGAGAGGAGTGAGAGGAGAGAGAGAGAGAGAGAGAGAGGGCGAGAGAGAGCGAGAGAGAGAGGAGAGAGAGAGAGAGAGAGAGAGAGAGAGAGAGAGAGAGAGAGAGAGAGAGAGAGAGAGAGAGAGAGGAGAGAGAGAGAGAGAGAGAGAGAGAGAAGAGAGAGAAAGAGAGAGAGAAGAGAGAGAGAGAGAGAGAGAGAGAGAGAGAGGAGAGAGAGAGAAGTTCCGAATCCAAAACAGAAGACGACGAAATGACGCATTAAAACTAAGACTTGCCAACACAACGTTCGTGTTAAAAACGGCTTGCATCTGGGTCTGTGTCATGCAGCGGCCGCTCTCACCGCCTTGGCATTGATACCTGCTTGCTCATGCTTGCTCGTCATTGCGAACGCACGCAAATCAAGAGAAAATATACCGAAACACATAAAAAGAAGGCATGGCACACGTGGAGCACGAAATGTAGTTCGCTGTCACTGTCATAAGCATTGAAGATATGAATCGCCCGTAACACTCTTCAATATCCTTATAGTGACATGAAGCGCATCTCATTTTGGTCACTTCGAACGTGAAGGCTAGCTAACCCTTTCGACGAGGCGCCCCCACGCCCACCCCCTGGCGGATCTAAGGAGACCCGACGCCCATCTCCCCCCCCCCCGCCCGGCAAAGGATGCTTCGCCAAACCACCGTGCTTCCTCCCTCGCCCCAGCTTTCCCTTTCCTTTGTTACGGATGGAATAAGCGGAGACTCACTCGAGACTTTCACTCTTATCGCTTCTTTCTCTCCCCTCCCTTTTTTTGCCTGTTTCTTTCCCTTCTGCGTGTGTTGCCGGGGAAAAACAGAGCGAGACGGAGAGGTCTAATTTCGGTGAACTTTTTTCCCTTCCCTTCTTCGTCTCTTCCTACGCTATGGATGCTGCTGGTTGTTTTTAGGAGATGAGTACACTGCACATGTTCTGTCTCTGCCAGACTGCGATGCGTACCGGAATTTCTCTTGATTTTTCTCACATGCTCTCTTTTTTTTGTGTGTTTGGGTATATTTTCTCTCTCATTCTCTTTCATTCTCCTTTTTCTCTGTTTATTACCTTTCTCCCCTCTCCTAATTGTGCTTTCCTTTTTTCCTTTTTCTGGGTTTGCCTTTTCACGTATCATCTTTTTTCTCCTCAGCTGTGTTCGCTTTTGAGTTTCTGTTAGTCCTTTTTTCTCTAATTATACCTTTTGTTAGTCTCTGTCTCTCTACTCCTACTTTCTCACGCGTGTAGAAGCACATGCACTTTCTCTCTTTATCTCCTCCATCTATTCTTCCATTTTCTAAGAATTTGTCAATCTTCTCTTTCTTGCACCATTTTATTAATGTTTCTATCTATAGCTATCTATACTTTTTATATATGCAATCTATATTCATCATCAAAGGCTCCAACGCATTAAAGAGAGCTCTTTATAAAGCCATCTCTGATAACGGAAACAAAACTATGGTACTGTATTTTCGTCAGTGTATTTCGGAGAATCACACTGTATTTCAGTAAGCAGATAACCTTTACAAACTTTCTGATATACTGCGGTTAGTTATCAGAAGCTAATTCTTGCTAACTGTGACGGCAAACTGGTAAGCTAGCGGATTGCAAACTGCTTCTTAGATCGCCTTGTAACCTTGCCATTTTCTAGATTTAAATTTCTATTAACATCATTATCATTAATTTATCCTTATGCTTGTATGCCTAAAACCAGTCTGTGTCTAGCATTAAGAATGTCAGTGCAGCGGCCATGTTTTTGCCTCTGTTTTGTTTTAGTGCCTTGATATTATTCACTAGATGAGGCAAGCATGAATTCATTGTAGTGACCACAAGGACAGGTTCGTATATTTTGACTTTAATCTCTTTGTGTGATAAATCCTAAAGTAAGTGATCCTTTTCTCTCTTTATCCATTTATCACTCTCTTTGGTTGTCTCTTTAATTATCTCCTCGTTCTCTTTGTCATCCTTTCTAACTGTTCATCTGTTCGGACATCCTTGCCCAACCATCTGTCTGTTTGTATTTTATTTGTCGATATCTGCCTCTTAAATTTTGCGAAAATTCTGTCGCTTGCAGGTATTTATGTCAAGATAGATCCTCCTTTTGAGAAAGTAAAGGCACGGCAAATATGTTTCGTAAAATACATTGCTATAGATTCTTTCACAAGTATAATAATAGGCGTATAAAAATGATAATATTTCTATTTCGGT